TTAGAATCACTTGCAGAATTGAGTGATAATGATTCGAGGGAAATTCGTCATCAGACAATGAAAACGATTTTGCGACTTTGCTCAGTGATGTGCGAACTTGGCGCTCTATTTCAAATTTCAGTGTTTTTGGTTTCATTATATTGTTGAATTAAATGTATGTATTATTATTTTTATTTTTATGATTATTTATTAAATTATGATTTCGGGTTTCAAATTTTAACATACCCGGGATGTTTACTAGACTTTTGTTCGGACAGATTTCAGTGTGTTATTCCTAAAAATTACAGGCCTACAATAAAAAAAACAACATATTTCCATGCAAAAAAATGTACCGCTTTGAGCACAGAAATACTGACATAATCAGACCGCTAGGGAGGTTAAAAATAACTTCAAATAAATTTAGGCCAAAATGGATGTCTTTGTTAAAAAAAAACTCAATACATGTAAATTAATTAGTTTACGTGAAAGTTATAGTGTTTACAAATGGCAGTATATATATTGGCATTTTTTTTAAAATATATTTTTACTAGTAATGGCAGCGATTAGCGACTTATAGCAGGACTGAGGCGGACATTCTGACACTGGGGGGAACTGACTTGGTGTCACTGACATCCCCATCGATCAGTGCTAATAAAAAGCATTGACATTGTACTAATGGCACTGGGCAGGAACAGGTTAACATGAGGGGCGATCAAAGGGTTAAATGTGTGCAGGGAGTGTTTTACTATGGGGCTGTGTGTTTCACTGTAATCACACAGTAATCACACTGCTCTGGATGGCTGTGCTAGCACAGCCATCTAGAGCAGTGTGCCTGAGCTGACAGGGAGGAGGACTGTTAGTAAACAAAACAGTCCTCCTCCCCGTCGTTGATCGTCGGAAATCACTGGGCACCGGCGAGTACCGGCCAGGACCCAGTGCTTGACAGGCACGGCTGCGAATGGTGGAGCGGGTAGAGTCCACGCGCCCCCTACCTGAAAATGCTAAATCGTGTGTGTGTGTGTATGTATATGTGTGTATGTATATATATATATATATATATATATATATATATATATATATATATATATGATTTTGCGCACCCCTGCCACCCTGATTTCTGCTATAGGCCTGTAGGGATGTGGTTAATTTCCACATTTAAATTCAGACTAAATATATACTTTAAATCTCATACACAAACTTTAGAACGTGGCAACTAGGAATAGTTTGACCTTACTGGCAATTTGAAAAACCATATCAGTTATAATTATGAATTTGCTTAAAATATAAGTTGTACTTATCACTTTGGCGTCCAGAACTGTTTATTCCTTTTCCTCATTTATAAATCATTGTAGTAAAACTGTGAAAAAAATACCTGGTGGGAAACAAGATAGAAAATAAATTTCCAGCTTCCTTCTATGGTGTCTAGGCAAGGATACCGTCATGAGTCTTCTGGTGAAATTCTGTGAATATGGATCCTAAGGCAGGTCATACATTATGCAATTTTCTTTTCTTCAACCCAGGTTGAATGAAATAAAATTGCTCAATACTGCCATTAACCCAAAGAGTATTGATGGGGGAATCCCTCCCACAACTCTATTGTACCCTGCTGGCAGAGTACAATAATCATTGCTGGCAGCTACAGTATTTGAGCAAACAAAACCTGACAGGTCAGTTGTACTGAAGTTGATTGAGACATCAACTTCAGTACAACCAACCTTCCCATACATGGATGGGGATTTCGATCCATCTAGGGCCAGCCTGAATCTTACAAGACGTTGCTCCTAAATCTTGCAGTTTGGTGCAGTAACTTCTTACAAGATTGGTAATATATAGCATTCCCAGGAACTTGCTGGAAAGATGATGACACCATCATATTCAATACAGAAGATGAGTCTAAGATAAGTATACACTCACCAACCACTTTATTACGTACACCTTGCTAGTGCCAAGAAAATATCCCCCTCACCATTAGACCACCACCACCAGCCTGAACCGTTGATACAAGGCAGGATAAATCCCATGCTTTCATGTTGTTTACGACAAATTCTGACGCTGCTGTTGCCTTTTTATCATCTCAAACCAGTCTGCCCATTCTCCTCTGACATCAACAAGGCTTTTTTGTCCACAAAAACTGCCATTCACTGGATATTTTCTCTTTTTTGGACCATTCTCTGTAAGCCCTAGAGATGGTTGTGTGTGAAAATCCCAGTAGATCAGCAGTTTTTGAAATACTCAGACCAACCTGTCTGGCACCAACAACCATGCTACATTCAAAGTCACTTAAATCCCCTTTCTTCCCCATTCTGATGCTCAGATTGAACTTCAACAAGTCTTCTTCACCACGTCTAGATGCCTAAATGCTTTTAGTTGCTGCCATGTGATTGGCTGATTTGCAGTTTTTGTTACCAAGCAGTGTACCTAATAAAGTGGCCGGTGAGTGTAGTTGGAAACTATGTGGTCTGCAGCTATAGTGTTGTGGAAACAGAATCTGTTAGAATCTTCTTTTGTCTTGATTTACTAAAGGTCACATAAGTCAGAGATCTTATAAAGCCTGTAGAGATGTATTACAAAGAGCCTTCCCATATGGAAGAAAATTATATTTGAAATATAGTTAAAAAAATATTTTGCCAATATATGTGGCCATATTCAATATATTTAAAAAAAAAAATATATAAATTTAAAAAAAAAAATATAAATAAATATATATATATATATATATATATATATATATATATACTGCATGCTGAAATGCATTTTTATTTACAAAATATATGAAAAATATTTTTAAAAATACATTTTAAATATACTTTATGTCTTTAAAAATACAAATCCTACATTTTTGGAATGCATTTACAAATATTTGTTAAAGTTACTTTTTTATATTTTAAAAAAAAAAAATGAAGAATATATTTAACAAAAACATTTTTTATATATATTTCTCAGATTTTTTTTAACATATAAAAGTCATGTTAACATATATTTTTACATATATTTGTAAATGAATTCCAGAAATGTAGACTTGTATTTTTAAAGACATACAGTATATTTGAAATGTATTTTTAAATATTTTGTAATAGAAATGCATTTCAACATGCAGTGTATATTTTGTCATGTGTGTTGTGTGTGTGTGTGTGTGTGTGTGTGTGTGCCTGTGTGTATATATATATATATATATATATATATATATATATTTATTACAGTATATATTTGAATATGGCCAAAAGTGTAGCAATTCAAATATAAGGCAATATATTTGGGAAGAATATTTTTAAAAATATATTTCAAATATATTTTTCTTACATGTTGGTTAAGAGAAGGGACAGTAGTTATAGCAACATGTTTAATCCAGGCAAACTGCTAAATATACAGTTGAAATACATATATATGAACTGTTACATCTGTAAAAATGTAAATTCTTCCCAGACACTTCTGTGATTTATACACCTCTTCCAGACAGCACAGCCTGGAAAATGACATCACATTGTCTGTTAGATGCATTTCAATAAGATTGATTTTGCTGTGTAAGTTAACAATGTTACATTTGTTAAACTTTCACTAAACTGGCCTCCAGTTTTACTTTGCAGCACTTCAAGGCAAAATTTGCATTTAAAAAGTTACTTTTAAAGCCAAGATTGACAAAAAAAGCCAGTAATCACTAAGTCCCCATTTGATCTGATTACCTGGCTTTTGCATATAAACAAAGCTATGGCACAGCATTGGGATGAGCATGCCTTTGTTTATTTACCTAGGAAAGGCATGTCCCACCCAACCTCAGTGCTATATAATATATGTTTTAAAAAAAATCTTGTGATTAACATGTGAAACCACTTTAAAGCGCCTTGATTTCGCCTCTCCAATTGACACCAATGTATTTTGCCCATATTTGTCTGACATTTTGCTAAAATTTAGAGACGTGATAACTGCCAATTCCCAATCATCCCTAGTTAGAACATGTGCAATGTAGCAGAGCCTGGCTAGCAGCTAGAGCTTTCCTACCCTCCCCCAGTCTGAGTGCGGCTGTGCATGGGGATAACAGGAGGATTTTACAGAGGCAGAATTAGGCAGTTGTGCTAGTTGTTTTGAAAATATATAATTATTTTACAAGAATACATAACTGCAATAAATGTTGTTTGTTTGATAGATCTTTCGGGTTTCAAAAGTAAAGCCCGCCTGTCACATGGTCATGAAATAGAATAAAGGACATCACAGGTGCAAAGCACCATTCTATGGCTCAGTATGCCCACAATGGACTTTGCCAGCAACAGGTTGCTCGTGTACCAAGAAAATCATTGAGTAATGAGGGATAGAGCATTCATTTTTCTCCGTTACTGGCAGTCTCAGTGGGCTGCTGCAGTGCACTGGGGAGGTGGACGGAAGATATTAAGGTAAGAAAGGGTTGCTGTTCATAACCAATTTGACAGATGTACTTAGGGCCTGAAGGCAAAGGACACCAGGACTACAGTATATGGAACAGAAGACAAATTCATTTTTAATTTGCTTTTGCAGTTTAAGCTCAGCAAACAGCTAGACATATAAAGTGTCTCTGTAATGAGAGAAATATGGGGACTGTCATTGCTGGCCTCATTTTGGAAAATGCCAGTTGTTTGGCTGTGTCTGACTTAAACATTTGCCCTCCTGAGGATTTACCCCCCTTCCTGACCAGGCCATTTTTTTGCGTTATGGCGCTGTGGTACTTTAACTGACAATTGCGTGGCCATGCAATGCTGCACCCAAATGAAATTTACGTCCTTTTTTTCCCCACAAATAAGCTTTCTTTTGATGGTATTTGATTGCCTGTGCGTTAATTTTTTGCTCTATAAACAAAAAAGACCTACAATTTTGAGAAATAAAACAGTATTTTTGACTTTTTGCCATTAAACATGTCCAATAAAAAAAAAATAACAAAATCAAATTTCATCATAAATTTAGGCCAAAATGTATTTTGCTCCATATCTTTGCTAGAAAAAAATCCCAATACGTGTAAATTAATTGGTTTACGTGAAAGTTATAGCATTTACAAATGGCAGTATATATACTGGGATTTTTTTTTATTTTTATTTTTACTAGTAATGGTGGTGATCAGCAACTTTTAGCAGGACTGCGGCGGGCATTCTGACACTGGGGGGAACTGACTTGGTGTCACTGACATCCCAATGACACCAATACAGTGATCAGTGCCATTAAATAGCACTGACACTGTACTAATGGCACTGGGCAGGAAGAGATTAACATGTGGGGCGATCAAAGGGTTAACTGTGTACTGTGTGCTATATCACAGTATGTTGTGTGTGTGCTTTCCACTGTAAGCACACTGCTTTGTATGGCTCTGCAGAGCCATACAAAGCAGTATGCAGGAGCACAGAGATCTGTGTTGTTTATACACAGGTCTCTCCCATCAGAGATATTCCGCAATCATCGGTGCCGGCGAGTAATCACCGGCTAGGACCTGGTGATTGACAGCCGAGGCCGCGAATGGCGGCTCTGGTAGGGCAAGCGCCCCCTACCCGGAAATGCAAAATCACGTATATATTTGTGATTTAGCACACCCCCGCCGCCCTGTAGCAGTATTTCTGGGGATGATTTACTGAAACTGGAGAGTGCAAAATCTAGTGCTGTTCTGCATAGGAACCAATGAGCTCCCAGGTTGTATTGCCAATGCTTCATTGAACAAGCTGGAATTAGAAGTTGGTTTGCTACCAGTTACAGCTGCACCAGATTTTACACTCTTCAGATTTAGTAAATCAACCCCACTGCCATAATGTCAACATCCAGGAGAGATTATTCACTATGTGCATGCACATTTTTTTTTTCTGCTGGAGCTACAACATTGCCTTATTAAAACAGAAATACCAGAATAAATAAAATAAACATCCTAAATTCCAGCGAAAATCCCAAAAACTAGGAGCTCCATTTCTTTTAGGGTTAAGTGAGCAGAATCATGTAAGTCATTACATTTGGCCCCTTTTAGCCATCTGTGTAACCCAATAAATCCATTATTTTTCACAGCCAGTATCACCAACTTACATTTAGCTGTTTCACTCTTCTGTCAGATCCTTTTGTACCTCTTAACAGTTAACTTAATTGAACTTAAAGTGTTACTAAACCCAGGACCCTGCATTCACTATATCCAGTCTTCCACAGTGCACACAACATGTAAATGCAATTATTTTAGTAAATATAAACTGCTAAATACCTTTTCTCTTCAGCAGTTAGAGCAGTCTTATAACTTCTATCAGTGTCCAGCAAGCACATGTTAAAGCTGGTAGAAGGAGTTTTCATTCTTCTCTGATTGTCCTATGAGACTGCATGACCCCTGACTCTCTGTCTGGACAGCTCTGATTGGCCCTGTGCTGATCACATGCACTCTTCCAAGAAGCAAAAAAAAAAACACCCTCTCTGGCAATACACACCAAACCGAGCATGTACAGAGTTATTCCACAATATGCCTTATCAGGAGATAAGGAAGAACAAGGGGACACTGGAAGAAGGGGATGATCAGAGAAGACAGGATTAAACAGCTTTTTTACACAATGCAGAGGATTAACCACTTAGGTTCCACAGTGAGTATAAGAAGCATGATATACTGCATATACAGACTGATTTTACTGTTGTGGGTTTAGTAACACTTTAATGGTTGAATTGTTCCCCAGGATTCACCAGCCCTATGCCATAGAGCATGTAAAGTCATACCTTGCATTGATCTGGGATAAGAATCCTGAAACAACTTAATGAAAATTGCTAATACTGTCTTTGTAAAATGATTATATCTGTGCTCTACATTAGCAGTTCTAGGTGCACTGATAGCTCAAGAGACAATAGGGAATGGTTTGCATGGCTCTGCCCACTTATCAAGAAGCAGAGAATGAGCTCCTTGTTTTTGGGTTTTGTCTCAAAAGTGAGGCTATGTAAATACCTCCTATTTTAAGAAGTCAGTGCTGTATCTCACAGTACCTTGGAGGCTGTCTTTCCAGTTCCTTTTGTACCACCTCAGTGGTTGTACAATTTCCTTTTTATTGGCTGAAGAAACTTTAAATCTGAAGTTTAGTTTAAATGTTTTTCTGGAAATAGCACCAGGGACATAACTTACCTCTATTTAATTGGAGCTGATTACTGACTCCCTCAAGAGTTGGTTCTGGCCAGCTCTGTGGATTGCTTTAAAAAAGGCCTGGATTCCTTCCTAGATACACAGAATATAACTAGATATAACATTTATAGGTAACGTTGATCCAGGGAATATCCAATTGCCTCTCGGGGGATCAGGAAGGAATTCTTTTCCCTGCAGGAGCAAATTGGATTATGCTTTGCTGGATTTTTTTGCCTTCCTCTGGATCAACTGTGGGTATAGGAAAATATATATATATATATATATTTAATTTTTTTTTAATGGTGGAACTGGATGGACTTTTGCTTTTTTTCAGCCAGACTAACTATGCAACTATGTACTGGTTACTGTAAAAGCCCTCTCTTCATTAATCCTCCTCACAGTGGTGAGCTTCCAGAATTGCATGGGATAACTACTTTGGCTATAAAAGTGAAACTGTCACTAAACTAAAAATTTTAAAAATTACTTTATGTTCAATGTCTTCACAATACTATAATTTTGCACTTTTTAATTGCAGTGCCGAATGTATCTTCTCCAAAACGCTTTTACAATCTCCAGTGTTGTACAGGGGCGGACTGACAACTCACTCATGGGGCCCCTGTGTCCAAAACTCAAAAAAGTCTATGAAAAAGATACCAGGGGCATCTCATGGGGCCCCCTACTTACCCCGGGCCCTCGGGCAGTGCCGAGTTTCCAAATGGTCAGTCCACCCCTGGTGTTGTATTTCCTTTCTGAGAGTGGCTACATTTGATTTACATACTACCATAGTGTATTTGAACCTAGTCACCCTCTATGCTCATTCACAGCATGGACAACAACTATATGTGTATGTGTCCGTGCAGCCAGGACAGATTAGACTGCCCATAGTGTCTACAGCACTGCCCAGCGCTTTACTCCAGCACCAATTATCTTGAAATCTGGAAAAGGATGACAGCAACCGGCCAGGGAATTATGATTCAGCCTCGATGATTTCTCTTCACAGGATCTCTTTAAATATATGCATACTGTATGTAATCTCACTTCTCTGACCCACTGACCCACCCCGACATTGTGAACCTGTCACTCCAGCTCTTTTCTCCCATCAGCAAGCTTCTTCTTTGTACCTAAAGACATTAGGACATCAATATTTACCATCCATTCATTTACAGTTGGATTGGGGGAGAGGTAATGGATTGGCCAAGTTATAAACTTTCCATAAAGAGGTCGATGCTGGGGATGTCTGCTAAGCCCTCTCTCTCCTCCCTCCATAACCAGCAACAAGCATGTTCCTGATACTTAAGAAAGATTATTTGGCAGTCAAATTGTGTAGTCTGGCAACCTAATTACCAATGTCTGCAAATGACTTTGGTTGACAGCATTGCTGTGCGTAGGATTGCAGTAGGCTAATACATATAAATAGGCAGATTCAAGTACTTACACTAACTGCATTTAAACTTGATATCATTACTATTATTATTGAATAAAAACTTAACCAAAATAAATGGTAATTTTACCATCATTTGGAGTTAAGCTTTAAGTCTATTGTAGCTGAAGCAAAGCTTCGGAGTTTTAGCCAAGCAGCTAAATATACAGCTGCAATACATCCATTGGGCATTTTACTTGACAAATGATTTGTAATTCTGTCCTATCAGGCTTGTCTTTCAAGCATACAGAATAGGCAAATCCTTGGCTGCAGGGGCAGCAACACAGCTTGGTCAAGAATACAACCCTAGCCTGTTGATTGGACAGTGGGAGAGCAGTAGGAGTGATGAGTGCGTCATTCTGCTGATGCTGTTCTCTTCTCTGGTCAGCATATTCCCTGTCAGCATACAGTATGTTCACTATGGAAGAATATATGCTGACCCATACTCTTACAGTCTGAACTGTGCTGTACGGGGGGCAGGAGGGGGGTAGCAGGGCAGAGTTCAGGGGTCAGTACTAGGTGAGGCAGAGTTCAGGGGTCAGTACTAGGTGAGGCAGAGTTCGGGGGTCAGTACTAGGTGAGGCAGAGTTCGGGGGTCAGTACTAGGTGAGGCAGAGTTCGGGGGTCAGTACTAAGTGAGGCAGAGTTCAGGGGTCAGTACTAAGTGAGGCAGAGTCCAGGTGACAGTAGTAAGTGGGGAAGAGTTCAGAGGTCAATAGTATGTGAGGCAGGGTTAAAAGGTCAGTAGTGAGGCAGAGTTCACAGGTCAGGAGTAAGTACGGCAGAGTTCAGATGTCTGTAGTAAGTGAGGCAGAGTTCAGGGGTCAGTAGTAAGTGGGGCAGGGGTCAGGGGGTCAGTAGTAAGTGGGGCAGAGTTCAGGGGTCAGTAGTAAGTGGGGCAGAGTTCAGGGGTCAGTAGTGAGGCAGAGTTCAGGGGTCAGTAGTGAGGCAGTTCAGGCAGAGTTCAGGGGTCAGTAGTGAGGCAGAGTTCAGGGGTCAGTAGTGAGGCAGAGTTCAGGGGTCAGTAGTGAGACAGAGATCAGGGGTCAGTAGTAAGTGGGGAAGAGTTCAGAGATTAATAGTATGTGAGGCAGGGTTCAGAGGTCAGTAGTGAGAGGCAGAGTTCAGAGGTCAGGAGTAAGTGGGGCAGAGTTCAGGGGCCAGTAGAATGTTAGGCAGGGTTTAGAGGTCATTAGTAAGTGAAGCAGAGTTCAGATGTCAGTAGTAAGTGGGGAAGAGTTCAGAGGTCAATAGTAAGTAAGGCAAAGTTCTGAGGTCAGGAGTAAGTGGGGCAGAGTTCAGATGTCAGTAGTAAGTGGGGCAGAGTTCAGGGGTTAGTAGTAAGTGGGGCAGAGTTCAGGGGTCAATAGTAAGTTCAGCAGAGTTCGGGGGTCAGTAGTTAGTTCAGCAGCGTTCGGGGGTCAGTAGTAAGTTCAGCAGCGTTCGGGGGTCAGTAGTAAGTTCAGCAGAGTTCAGGGGTCAGTAGTAAGTGAGGCAGAGTTCAGGGGTCAGTAGTAAGTGAGGCAGAGTTCAGGGGTCAGTAGTAAGTGAGGCAGAGGTCAGGGGTCAATAGTAAGTGGGGAAGAGTTCAGAGGTCAATAGTAAGTGAGGCAGAGTTCAGGGGTCAGTAGTAAGTGAGGCAGAGTGCAGGGGTCAGTAGTAAGTGAGGCAGAGTTCACGGGTTAG